ACACACACACACACACACACACACACACACACACACACACACACACACACACACAGAACTTTCACAGTCCTTGAAGAGGATTTATTTCATGACTCTACCCAGCCTTCCACATTACCAACAGAAAAGTGAACACCGGGATCCACACAAGATTTAAAAGTTGTGAGAACTTATTCCCAGGGGAAGAGTCCGGGAGGGAAACCGGCCATTTTCTCCTGGTACACTTTCTCGAAGGCTTCAGCTTGGGCTACTGTGAAGTGATTCTTCCAGTCCCCAGTTGTGCCTGGAAAACAGAATCGGACACACAGATGGGTTAACAATGCCTAACACTCTTTTGCTCCTCCCTTCTCGTGCTGTTACCATCGGCCTGACACAGCGGAACTGCCAGTTCCGGAAGAACCCTCCTTCTACCTTGATCATGCCCATACAGACTTCTCCGTCTGTGGAAACTGTGCGGCATCGTTTCCTCTCCCAACCTATCTGCCGGACGACCTGAAAGCAGCATCGCCGGCTCTGCCTTTCTGTGTCCAGTGTTCCTTCTTCCCGTCACACCTGCTTCCGTCCCACTATCCACCCACACAGTGCTCATCATCTCAATGATCCAAACGGACCTAAATTGTTCTTTCTATACGTCACTGTTTACTTACAGAAGCTCTTCACAACAGGCATGCAACCTTTAAATAATATTTTAAATTGCTTTTACTTATGTGTGTGTCTGTTCACACGAGTGCAGCAGATGACACAGCTGTGATCAGCATGTCAGCCATCTTGGTTCTTCCAGCAGATACAGGGGAACCAGCCCCTTCCAGCTGAGAACATGCAGAGCTCCTGTTTTCACAGCCATGGTGCTTTGTGGTGCATGAAGATCTATATAGTTTCACCCCCCTGTTCTTTGTAGCACCACCATGAGCTCATAGGCTGATTCTCCTCACTTCATTCCAGTAGGTGTTTAGTTTTGGCCATAGAGATGTCAGATTGTCCAACTTCTCACTCTGCACTGTTGCTACACTAACTCCAGTATCGTCAGTGTAGCATATCAATAGATTGTGCTACAAGACGGAAGACACATTTCCTACGGAAATCAGCTTCCTGGAAGTCCCTAGCAAGAATCCTAACACGGCCATCTAAGCCAAAAGACGTATTCTAAGTCCCATGCTTACTTGGTTGCAGGATTAAATTGATGAGCTTTTTTGCTGTTTCTCTATGATTCTTGAAACAGTACAATTAACTATTCAAGGAAACATTTCTAATAGATCACTAAAAGCTTTAGCAAATAAGAGTAGAAGGAAAATAAAATTTTAGGAGCGGTAATAAATCAGATTCAGCATCAGGAATTGCTAGTGGAAAAACAAAACATTCTAGGTAGTAAAAGGACAAGAGTTTTAGGGCTTTCTAAAGAAAATGTTTGATCAGGATCTGTTAGGATAAATGCTCTGGATATTCCCACTGCAGTAAAGCTACTACAAAACCATTACCTAACACAGGTATTTATGATGAGGTAAAAGGAAGATAGGCAAACATAGAAGGTCAGAGAGTTTTATATTATACTATAAGTTTTACAGACAGGCTAGCTCAAGCATCTTATCTCTAAGGAAAGATTGTAAATCCTTAGCAAGCCAAACAGGAGGAATTTCCCTCAATACTTAACTCTAGGGGGGTGGGTTTGTAAATCTTTAGCCGACTTGGTTCAGAGGGCAATGACAGCCCCTGGACTTCCACTCACTAATTAGTAGCAGTAAACTGTGTAAACACCACTAGTTCTATGTTTGCTCTGCTTTTAGGCCAAGATTTTTTGTAGACACTGCCTTTTACCAGATCGCCTTCAGTTAAAATATAAACTTTGTAAATGTTCTGGGGGATATGTCAACTTTAAGGTGCTTCTTTGTAAAATTACTATAAAAGTGCTGGCTTGACTTCAGTAAAGCACAGAAGATCCAAATCAACATTACGTGGTGTGATCTCTGTCATTTCACCTATCTGTGCCTTCCTGATATCTAAATTCTCTGATTTTCCCACGGGGCACCCAACAGGGCTGGTCTGTAGCACACTGTGTTCCTTCACCCTGGAGGGCTGATGCCTTTCATAAAATTAAATCTTTGTCTTCTGTCTCCTTCTTGATGCCACTGTAACCTTCTCTTTCTGTCTGCCCTCCATTTACAACCCATTGGCCTCTATCCTTGCTTCCTTTTATTTCATAGCTGTGGCACTGGGATTGCTCCATGCATTTCCTTTTTTAATGTATGCATAAAATATGTGTGTAATACATTTGAAAAGTAAAGTGTTTCTTAAATTGCCAAACAGTCCGTTTCTCAAAGAGTGCCAGACATACAGAACATTCTCAGTGTGCGATTGTCGAATGTGTTCATGGGTAAAGTGAGGAAGGTGCTGGCATTGGTGCCTCTTTGCTGATGAGGAAAAATTATTCTTTGAGATGTTACCCAGAACGAGAGTAATGGAGATGGATTTCAATTATAAGATTGACAATGGAAATCATTCTCTTCTGTATAACGTTACTCTCTTTATGTATCATCTAAGTTAATTTTAATCCTTCAGTGGGCTATATTAAAGAAAATATAGTTAATGGATATAAGTAAAAAGCGCCATCAGTTAAGACGGGAACATATCAATATCCATTGCTACTCGGAGGTTCCTTATCTTCTTCATTATTAGAACATATTTTGTCATTGTTTCCCACACCATGCCTGGATCCTGACAAGCCAGAAGAGATACTGTGCTATCAGATTCTAAGCAAGTTCAGTCTGGCTTTCTACTGGAATCAATCAGTCCATATGTGAGAACCACATCTTTGCAGGTACACGCATGGCGTTCTAAGTCCATCTATGTCAAAATCCTGCGCACCTCACTGGCACACATTCCTCTCTATTCCTTCTTTCTAAAAGTCTCCCCAAGTCTTGTGTGTCAGGTGACAGGATAACCCTAACACCTGGTGGCTTGACTCTTGTTGAAAAGGAACTGCCCCATAGTTCAGGATGCTGCTGGTTCTCCAGACCTTTCTAGGCTTTTCTTTTTGTCCTGTAGATAACAGGCTTCTCTCTCTGTCCTCAGGTCATTTTCCCTCAGTGTCTCTGATTAATGTCTTTAGAAACAACTGACATTGATTAATGTCCCAACATAAGCACTGTGTCCAGGAAACCCACTATGAAGTAATTTAGGGCTAGAGCTTCTGATGTTTGTCAGAAGATATTTACCCCCTAATGCCTTGATCCTGACATTGTTTTTACAATCATCTTGTGGCTAATAGTGGCTGAAGAAGGATAAACATTCCTGTCTGCATTTCCTGTGCTATCCAAACATAGATTTATTTTGATTACAATTGTATGTGGGAAATTATTGCTTGGAGCTTAAAACCAGATAAATCCCACCTAGGGACAATTGAGTCTCCCAGGTAAAGCTGATAAAGTATCTATGCAGAGGCAACAAAAATTATTTTACTTGCCTTCTGAGAAGAAGAGCAATTAAAGGATAGGGAAAATAAGTCTAGGAATCCCCTCCTGTCTAAGGCCAGTCGAACACTTTACATAGTTTTTTGATGCTTTATGATTTAGGTATCTAATGGTGAATAATAACATTGATTTGAAAATTAATCTTTGATTTGCTCATATCTTGCTGATTAAAAAATAGCACCAATCTGATACAGGAATTTCAAAGACTAATACTAACCTTATGCACTTTTTCAAAAGTGTTTATGTACATATCCATTTCCGCATCCTCTATAATGAAGCAGTTAAGCAAGTGGGTAATGAAGATGATCATCCCTATTGTTAGGATTTTGGAACTAAACCTGCTCCTGGGTTGCCTAGCAACTTATGATGTCATCGTGTCACTGGCCAGGTGGCCATACCTGAAAGGCGTGGTTACCTTTCCCCTTAAAAGGACCAACTGGCCATGTGGTCCTTCTCTTGATCTCTTTTGCTCTTGGCCTCTTGCCTTCTGGCCCTCTTCCCTCTTTCTATCAGGGCACCCCTCCTCTCTCTTTCCCCCATCATGTCCTGCTCTCCATTCTTTCTTTCTCTTTATATCCATCTAATAAACCTCTTTCACATAAAATCTGTTTTAGTCGACTTTATTTAATTCATCCCCTACCATTTGGTGCTGAAACCTGGGAGGGTCCCCTGGCTTTGCCAGACCCTTTTGAACTCCTCTGGGACAAAATGGATGGCTACAACAGATCTTCTCTGTCCTATCTATGCCTAAAAATCTTTACTTTTCCTCAACTATCTTACTGTGTACAGCACATCTCTCCCACTGCCTACGTCAGCAGCGAAGGTGACCTCCCGGCCTCCACCATGGTACTACCTGCTGCTTGAACTAGTTCTAGGCCCACAGTGATGGCCGGTGGTCCAAGGCATCCAGCTGCGGCACTCTTGGTGAGGGCAGCGGCAGCAGCTCAGATTTGTCCCCTGCCAGTTCGACAAGCCCCGGGAACTCCCATGGCACCAAAATCAACTTTAAAAAATCGCTGGCGCTCCCTAACCTTAGCCTAAAAACCTTTATTTTCTTTCACTGCTTTTATGTGCGCAGCTGCTCAGTGCACCGATCCCCTGGGACACAGTGATGCGAAAATTGGCTTGGGAAAATCGTGCACCACTTCAGGTAAGAAATTGCTGGGAACCCTGTACACAGATTTGCACAGCTGCCTGAGCGAGATTTTAAATCTCCCGTGAGAAGATTGCTGCCATGTTGGTTTTGGGAGGAAACGGGCCGAACCATAGCTTCACTATGATTCCACATGGCTTCTGGTCATTTTGGCTTAGGGCAATTTGGCTCCGCCTTGCCATGCGCTCTCCCTCCCTGTCTCCTGCAGAACTCCGAGGCATACCATGTGCTCACCCCACTCCCACTCCTGTCTCTTTCAATATTCTGCTTACTCTAAGGTGTTACTTTCATACTTTACAAAATCTTTTCTTCCTGATTTCTGTACACTCTGCTCTTAAAATACATACATACATTTTTAAATGCTTTAAATTCTTATTCTAATGATTTATATAATTTTCTCATTGGGTTTGCACATTTACAAGTCTTCCTTAATCATAACTAACTTTATTTTATCTCCTTTTAGACCAGGACAACAACAAGCCTCATTTTAAATTGGTATGGATTTTTATAAAAATTCAAAGTTACATTTTACTATCTATAATTCAACCTTGCTTCAAAAATAAATTTTATATAATAATAAAACTTAAACGTTATAAATGTCTATTCAAATTAAGTTGGTTTAAAATGTACATTAGATGCTCATGTCTTTTCAATTCCTGAATTAAT